GTCTGTTATTTTTTTCATGTATTACGAAATATTTACATTTACTCGAATTAAAACTCAGCCGACGACTCCCTACCAATCATAAATTATCGGATAACACCATTATTCGGCAAATTTTTGAATAACGGTAATTTGGCTCAACCGGGCAAATGATTGGTTGACACGTGCCGCGAAGCGGTACGTGTTCATTTGCCCGGTTGAACCAAATTACCGTTATTCAAAAATTTTTGCCGAATAATGTATACATACTGATCCGGTATGTATATTACCATTAGGAATTATAGCTGATCAGTATGGTTTTAATTTTGGTCTGTAACATACTGATCTGCTCACCCATACCATACTTAATATCATTTCGGCACGAATCGTGAAAAATTCATTCATTACGCGCACGAATGTTACACGAATATGCAATGGTTGATTCCCGTGTAACAATTCTAATTTTTTTAGATTTACAGAGAATATATTCATAATGACTATTCACGGATTTTATGTAACAGAAATATTCACTGCTAATTGAATATTCATTTTATCCGTGACTAATTGTCCAATAACCATGTAGTCTAGGAATCCAAAAGCTTTAAAAGACAGTTGTTTATCACCTAAGAAAAACTATAATTGCCTCATGGACTTTTATAAATTAGTTATCACGAAAATTTTCTAATCAAGGATGATCTGCAACATCCAAACTTGGAGATAACATTTAACACAATTATTCACCAAATGAAATATGGTTCGTTTGTCACGCAAAAATACTATTCCTGATCGGCAATACAGAGTTAAAAAAAAAAAATTTATTTGAGTACTGTTCCTGATAGGGTTCCAAAAACGAACCCTAATCCTAACTTTTTTTCATAGTATTTTGGAGACCCTTTTTTAGAACCTATCAGGAACGGTATGTATGTAAATCGATTTTGTTTCCCTATCAGAGGAGTCGTCTAAAGCCATGTACCCACGTGACCTTTTTGTGTAAATCAACCAACCGGAATTGCGAAATTTTGTTTACACGGATCACAAAAAGACGAAACACCAAACTAACCCTAATTTTAATTTACCGTATTTTGTGGGTTAAAGTATCCGCGTGATACAAATTTTTTTACACATAAAAGATTAAATATCACAATTAACACACGTCACATCCGTATACAACAAGCATTCAAGAAAAAGATTTATACTATTTGGCACGAAGGGCACTTTAATCCACAAAATACGGTAAACGATTAAAACGTCAAAATCACGTGGGTACATGGCTTTAGCCATCCCCCTATCAGGAACGGTATTTTTGCGTTCGGCACATCTCAAAAAAAATTTGCATATTTTATGATTTTTACTCAGCCCATAATATTTTAGTTCATTTTATTTCTTTAAATCTCGATTATTTTTTTAAAAATACATTCAAATTATTAATTTATATGAAATATGTATGTACATAATATATACCGCAATGACAATTATAGTTTTAATAATAATCAGTGAGACAATGCATAGACTACAGCCTGATTCATGGGTTATGTCCTTTGATATAGGCTACTACTTGCGCAATCACAACGAAGCCGTAATTTGTTACAGTAAAGTTATAATTGCCAACACAGAATTATGACCAACTTCTATTGTCGTGATAACAATGTCCGAGTTTGTTGTAAAAGGCGTAATGTTTTTATATATTTAGTAGCATCATTATCTAATAAAATTGTTATTATGTTCAGTATTTTAATAAATAACATAAAAATGTAACATTACGGTGCATTGACATAAATACCATCAACAATCTTTTGCTTTTCTTTGTCCGTTTCGATCGGCGGTGGAAATAATAGTTTGGCACTCATTATAATCTCACCAACATGTTTATCGCCACCAACTAGATCATATAATTAAAATAATACAAAGTTAAATGTGATTAACAATTAGCAATAAGAATTAAAGAACTTATTCTTGACTGATAGTTACACATAGAATCGGCAGAAGTCTTCTCACTTTCATTCAAAGGAGATTCGTCATTATTAGAAAAATACGGTTTTAATAATTCTTGTATTTCGTTCTCCGCTCTCTAGCAATAAAAGAAAGGTAAATTTACTATAAGTGCTCAAGCTGCGAATAAATATAAATGAATTTCAATATTTACAATCATTAATTCCATTTGGTCTGGAGTTAAACATTCACCAGATCCATTATAATATAATAGTTCTAATAAAACTTCAGCAGCCATCTGTAGAAAAAAGTGAAAATGTTAAATAAGTAAATTGGATCAAGAAATCTTTACAAAATAAGTAGCTTTCAGTTGAAGTTACCTATTTTGTAGTCGAGATTTCATTTCAGGGATTATGATGTAGGGCGTAGTAAATTATGATAAATATATAAACCTGAAGTGTTATTAGTCGACAATGGTGATAATGTTGACACAATAACGTCAGAATCAATTTAATTAATTCTTCTCGATAATTTCTTGTATGTTGTGGTCCATTATCATATACATCATCACAGGATATTTTTATAGTGGGTATTGAAAATGATCCATATTGTGGGCAATCTTCTTCGTCAATAAATAGCCCACGCACAGATTTGTAACTTGGAACATTATATTGTGATTCGTCATTTCTATCGATGAATAACGGTTTCACTTGAGAAGTTGATGTGGAATTTGAAAATATTGATTCTGTATCAAAGGATTGCCTTTCACATAATGAAGCGTCATCAGGAAAGTATTCGTCTGAATCACTTATTAAAGTGTCCTGCAGAAGCAACAAATATATATAAATATATACTCATTTAGAAATGGATATTTCATCGAAATATTAAGGTACCAAAAATCTATTTACCAACAGACGACGTGATTTTAGCAACTTTTGGGGGTACACATCGGTTGCTATTAAAACATCAGGCGCTATTGCATGGTTTCTACATGACATATAAAGCAAACAAAGAGCAGGAAGAGTATTCAAGTCGGGATGGCCTGCGGACAAATCTGGAACTAGGAATCCCATGATAGCTTCCCGATATAGATTCCTTTAATAAATAAAAAAAAAAAGTTAAGTTACGTACATCAAAATAAAGTTACCAAAATAGGAAAGTTACCTCCGAAATGAGGAACTCGACCGTTCAAATCTCGTTGGGGGTGAGCATGAATAATCCATCATAGCTGGGGAGTTTGAAAACAGCATAGCTACCATGTCTGTAACTAGCGGGGGATGACGGAATATATGTAAAACATGACATAAAAGCGCAAGAGCAACAACAGAATTGATTCGTGTTTTCTATTTTTAAAGTTCAATAGCTTTATTAATTATTCGTAATCCTAATGTAACCATTAAAATTAAGAAAAATACCTGCTGGGATGGTAGCAACTTCTTGTCAACCAAACTATCAGCATAAATAGGTTGTAACAGTAAATCCATTAAACGTGTTGTCAAAACCGTGTTCATCTTTTCATTATTTAAATTAATAATGTCATTGATATAATAAAAATTGTCGCAATGTTCAGCAATATAATAATTAAATTTTGGATATTGTTTGTGATATCTAGAATAAGGATTTATTATAGTTAGTAAATCGAATAAGTGTCAACCATTTAAACAACAAAGAATGAATAAATACGTACGTTGGAGAAGTAACTATATCGTTCAAAATTGACGCGTGATTAGCAATGAAATAAACCAGATTTGAAAAATATGGAGCGGCATTTCTATCCAAGATGAAATCCTGCATCTGTTCGTCATTAACTGTGAAATAAACAAATATTTTAGGGTGAAGTTTAGAATTAAAAAATGAGAGTGAAGCCTGACAATAGAATACCCGCAAATATATTCAATGTGATCGTTCGGACGGCAACTCGAACCATGCTCTCATCCGAATTGAAGAATTTAGTGGCTTCAGAATACCTACAATAAAAGAGAAATTATTAAATATCTTATGGTGCCATCCACGTAAAGAAAGCAAGATATGCTTACAAAGGAAAGTCATCTAAATGCTGTTATTACATGAAATTCAAAACAAGTTAATGCTTGTATAATTGATAAACCAATAACATTCGACAAATAATAAGAAAATACCTCGTTGAAAAAGAAATAGAGAGTGTTCGTATCAAGTTTGAATGAAAGGGTACGAAGAAGATAAATAAAATAGGCCAGGATTTCATCATTCGAAAAATCGAATTTGTGGCATATAATTTGATTTATATAATTATTTGATAATAAAAAATCTGAATATATATAATTAGATTTAAGTTTAGAATCCAGAGTAAAAAAAAAGCACATATCATTGATTTAAAATTTATGAACTCACACAATGATGTCAAATCATGTATATTTTCAAATAATATGTTCATGGTTTGCAGCAATTGTTTCGTGACATGTGGACTTTTGGTATTTTCCAGAATTTTCAAAAATACATAATGGACGCAATGTTCAAAGAAATATCTAGATAAATTTTGAAAATTAACAAAATTAACGATAAGAAATTGTCTTATGACTATTCGCATAAGTAATTTGTGGCATGAAATTTGAGATACATACTCGAGAATTGCGGGTTTGTGTTGATCACCTATAATTATACGTATACTTTATTAAAACCAAAATTATAGTCAGGCGATCTTACAAATAATAAGTCATTTCATACCCCAAATCAGAATTTGAGTAATTTCTTTCATCGATTCAATCATTTCTTCGTCATTGCTGCCATGTTTCGAGCCATCTAAAAGCAAAGCGCTTAAGCGTCTGAATAACGAGACAAAAATAATTAAATCTTTAGTATAAACGATTAAAGAAAACCATCATAATGATTCGTCTTTGCTGTTGTTTCTATAAATATAAATATAAATAACAACTACGTTCCACGGATAGGTGGTAAAAGTTCTGAAAAGATATCTTTAATAATCACTAATTACAAGTAGAATAACCCAAAGTAACATGCTATAATTCCTGTAGATCCGAATCATAGGTTCCAGTCTTCCTAGTGAATGAATAAGCTATTCATATAATAAAAAAAATATATTGATATGAACACTTACTTTAAATTTTCGATCGAATATTTTTCAATCTTCGGCTCTTTTGACCACCAAAACCAACCCATTGCTTGGCTTTGCCTATGTACCTTTGAATAATCTGGGGTTTGTGATGCAGCAATAAAATTAGCATCGATATAAGAAGCAAACTCTTTTGATTGGATCCATGTCATAAACTTGACCATGTTTTTTTTTTAAATTGGGGTCAATAATTTTGACAATGGAGGTATAAATCGCAAATGTTTGAGTTCAACGAAAGTTTTAAAGTGTATATAACGATAAGGGAAATAAAGTCTCGAACCTAAAGTCACTTGTATAACAATGCAATATAAATACCTGTATATTAATATGCACGAGCAGTTAGAGGCAGTGCTTTCTGTTTGGCAGCAGAATTTTATAAACCTAAAAAGCCCCTTTATAAATATATCGTATCGTTAATTCGGCATGTCAAATTTGTAATCCCATGACATCTCTTTGTGGCAATGATTACCTATGTATTGGCTAACCTTTTTTTTTTTTGTAATTTAAATGAACCCATAACAATGAGATAATGAGATTGATCGTGTATGTTCCTTATTATTTAATGCATGTATTATGTATTATGCACGATTCTTTAAGATATCATCCCACGTTATCAACCTATACTCTTGAAGTAATAATTGAAACTGAAAATTATAAAATCTCAAGGGTCTCTTGTTCCATATTGATTAAGAAAAAAAAATATATATATATATATATTTATATTGTATTAGCGTTAGGCGTAATTTCGTATTACACAAACGTATTCAAACATTGCTTCGACAATAATCTAAGAATTTCCTGCGTTACATTAAAAAGTTTACACTAAAAAGTTGTATCATTTGAATAAAACACCAAATGAGGAAACAAATTTGATATTTTATAGAATATGGAGGATCATAC